AAACGACTCATCTTTTTCAACATACATTAAGCATGTGCTCAGAATTTGAAAATGCGACAAATATCGACTAGATGGTGCACATGAGAGTCGTATGTGTGGGCATTTGGTAAGCCGAGTCGTGTCACTTGATAATCAAGTGACCAGAATCGTGTTGCTATTTTGTTACTTAAACCTCGCAGAACAATTCCAGCCAACTGGATGCTACGCCTGCCGGAGGTCATTGGAAGTTATACTTCACTTGGTACTTCAGCGTCACAATTGTACAAATGTATGATTATACCAATGTCATGATTCAGTCCATCATTTAGTGGCCCAACGGTGTTTCAGGATAAGGTTAGGTTCAACAAATTAGTGTTTATGCGTCCATATGATTCCAACTGAAAGGACATGTCTTTTCTTAAATAGACAGCGTTTATCTGAGGCAGATCTTTTGGATATAGAAGCTCTCGGATGCTTCTATAAGCTATAGAAGCGCCTGCTTACACTGACTAAGGGAGCTTATAATTAAGATTAGCTCACCAAAATAAACTTGCTGAAAGGGAAGATAAACTGTAGCGGGCTTCAAACTAATTTGCAGTGAGGAGAAAAAGGTGTGACCACTCTCGTAGTTTTAGATGACACTCATACCAGCCAGATGAAGTGCGATGGCTAACAGGTTGAGGAGGAAACCTGCGCAAACGCTTCAGTAATACGGACTTCCGTCGAACCGAATGGTCGCCCAAAGATCAAAAATCCGAGTTTCTCTTAGGAATACCTATTATGAGGAAAGGGGGGCCCGCTTTTCCTGATATGTGATAACCACCTCCATGCACCCACTGGAACCAAGTACTTAACAACTTCGGCATTTTCTATAATAGAAGATATGTAGGTGAATTTTCCATGGGTGGAGGTGGTTGAATTTCAGAGGCATATTATCCAAGATCGGGTGCATGCGAATGATGATAAAAACCAAATTTGCCGCTTTTATGGTTGGTCACTAAGCTGTGTGCATAGGACTCGCCAAGGGTGAGTAATGGTTATTTCAAACTACCGGAACAGAATGAAAGCGTGCAGTAAGTGTTAACGAGAGCTCTCAAGTTTCCTTCTATTAATGAACTCCTATGTGTGTCAATGTAAGAGTTTTTATCATTGCCACTAGCCCATAGCTGTCGAGAGCAGGAATGAGCAGACCGGAGGCTTGCAACCAAGAGGCAAGCAAACGCGATTTGCACTACCTATGTCTCGATGGTTAAACATAGTTTCAGCATCTTTCGACAGTAGCTTGCTCACTAAGTGATAGGGTCGATTTGCAAACTTTTCTGACCTAACTTTTCCTTCCATTGTATCAAATGTTGCTTTGTAGACCAGGACACATATCCTTCAGCGGCCAATTACATGACGCCCATTTGCTGAGGTACAGGAGTTAAAAACTTCCCTGACCCGTGGAAACAGCAGTACCTGTGGATTCGATAATGCACTCTGAGTAAAACACTGGTTCATCTTCCTACAGGTTATTTCGTATAGAAATTCGTCAAACCGACATTCTGCTGTCTGTGCTTTTGTCGGTCTCCTATAAACTGCTGCTGCAAGAGAGTCTCGAAGATCATACATAGACCGGTAAAGGCAATGGCATATTGCTCGTAAAGTAGGTAACCGACAACAAACGCATTCATTTTTAACGTAGGATTAAGTGCGTTTTTGTCCATGTAAAGAGTTGCAATCCAGAAATTATTGGTAGCAATTTGTAAACAGTGAAACAATGGGACCATTGTATACTGCGGATCAAACAGCCAGAGCTTGACAGGTCCCGTGGGATGGTTACTGTAAATTTCACAGGTTCCTGAAAGAAGTTACACCAAACTGAATCGTACATTTGTGGATTCATCATTGCATCCACGTGAACACAAAAGTAAATTCGTGTACTCTGACTTCGGGGGGTTTGTGAGCCCCATGGTTGTCTGCATCTTACCGGCACTCAATGAACTGAAATCAAATCAAGTAATGCAGATGGTGTGATGCATCGCGCAGTCGTTTTAAAAATGGATAGCGTGGTTGCAGAAGTGACAAAGGTCGAAAGAGCGTTCCACGGCTGACAAATTCCAATGGAGAGATAATTTGCTCGATATTCCAGCCAAGTTTATTGAATGACTACTTTCCTCTAGTGATCCCTTAACTTTGTGTTGCTACTGCTTTTCTGGAGGTCGGGGCAGGCCCGACCGTGGTTTTCCAAGATCTGGTATGCTAGAAGGAGTTCGCCCCGTAGACGGCGATAACTTCGCTGTACACTCCCAAAGTATTTAGTCACGGACGGTATAGCAGGTGGGACATGCCTCTCACAATTTTGGTTGCCCTTCACATTGCAGTGGTCAGTGCAACCAGATCGCGTTTTAACCAGGGTTGGCAGGCCTGAATCTCTGCTCCTTATAGAGCCTCTCCTGCATGTTGAACATTTTGGGAAAGATAGAGGGGTCGAACCAGCCGAACGCCCTCCGTAAGAAAGCAACACATTGGTTAACGGGGTTGGACATCTTCAAAGACTGCACAGAACAGCCAAAATCGTCTTACATTAGCACTCGAAGGTCGGGCTCCTGGGAGGATGTTTTTACAGGCGGTCTCCTAGTTTATATGCTTTACTAGGCTTGTGGCGTACATGTACAGTCTTGCGTTTGTCTGCGTTAAACGGAAGTAGATTTGCCTTTAACCATTCAAAGGCGCGGTCTAAGTCTTGTTGCAGTATGTCGTGATCTTTATGATAACCGATAGCCCGACATATCTGACTTCATGGGCAAAAAGCAGGAAATTCGACTCGAATACACATGCTAGGTCATTACAGAAGACCAAGAATAAACGTGCTCCTATCATTGATCCATGTGCAACACTGCAGTCCACATTAATAGAATCAAAAACGAGCCCCGAATCAGAATTTGAAGGGAAGGTTAAAGCAGGTAATTTTTGTTACATCCATGAACGTGGTTTCCAATTCCGTACGTGCGGGGATCTAATTGGTCGAAGACCTTAGAACATTCGAGGTGGATGACATTAGTGTGGGTCCCACTGTTGGTTATCCCGGTCCATCTCCCAGATACAACCAGTATATGACCGATGCTGACGGAATCCTTGTTGCTCCGGTGCTATGACCTTCAACGTAGCTCGTTAGAGCCTCAGCTATGATCGATTCAATCACCTTTGAAAGCACCGAGGAAGAATCAATGGGCGATAATTGGCGGCAGCTGAAAGGCTACCACCCTTGAAAATCGGGGTGATGATACCTTGCTTCCACATGTTGGGGACATGCTGTTCATCCAGGCTTCTTCGGAAAATTTGAGTTAATGGCTCAGCTATCCTTCGAGCTATCAAGTACAGTGGTTTCTGAGGCATGTTGTCAATACCGGGGGAAATGTCGGTGAGCAACGACAGCAACTTCCTCAAAACGGCCGTTGAATTAAAATGGACATATGTAAATCCCTGCCGGTGGGGGAATGGGACAGGTTTGTGACACAAACTTGTGCGCCTCGGAATATTGGAGCATACTGGAGCCGTAGTACTTTGGCTGCATCCCCGGCCGTTTGAGCACATGCAGTTGCTAAGATGAGTGGGAGAACACCACGCTTTACAGTAAGTAGGCAGTTCACATATCTCTACAGAAGTTCGTTAGTACAAAATCTTTCCTCCAGTCTGTACTGGTGTACTAATTTGTCCTCACAGACAAGTGTTCTACAGTGGTTATGATGCACAATATAGTTGTTTCAGTTGTCAGAGCTACGGTTCGCCCGGTACACTTGCCTCGCTGCGTCTCTTAACACCATGCGCTTTCGGGTTCTGCTCTTATCGAATGATGATGCTCTTGCAGTACGAAGGGAGCTGTTTATCTATGCGGATTTAATCAAATCAGTAAACTTGCCTGCAAACTCCGTCCATGCACTAGCAATGAAACAGGCGTCCGAAACTTTCAGATGGTATCTCCAACAACCTGCTGGCATATTGTAGTGTGTGATGATTCTAAGCAAGTCAATATATTCTCCTGCATAAAGTAGCGCAGTTAAGGCAAGTAACTCTTGACCCTGTCTAAATCTAGTAAATATTATGTTGGTCATTTGAATAAATCGAGTCTGATTAATGGTGGATGTTTGTGAGTAGTGTGAAGTTCGAAGAAAGTAGAAGCCAAGATTAAAATTCACGCACAATAATATGCCTCGACGGGGAGTCGAACCCCGGTCCACGAATTTCCGGTTCGCTGCTCCACCACCTGAGCTACCGAGGGCTGACGATTAGGTGCGCAAATTTTAACACATGTCTTCTGCTTGGTGCGCGACGTGTTGCCAGTAAGCTCACAGTACCTGTCCTGATGTAAAGTCGATTTTCATCGTGGATTCATAGAATCAACACATATGATGTAATTCTAATAGAATGAGTCTAATGAAGCGAGATGCCATGTGTTATTACATGTCTCGAGTAGCTAACAGCAAACGAATACACAAATTAAGTTGTGTTTTGTTCAACGATACGAGAAGCTGTTCGCTGGAAGGGACAGATCAGAATGTTACAACCATTTCACATTGCTGTATGCTTGATTAAAATATAGGCAGTTATTTTCTGGTTTTGGGAGTAACCCAACATAATCCGAATTATTTGCTGGTTTTTCGACCTTTTGATTAACCGGTGATCCTCACAACACGACAAACCTAAGTACCGAGAAGAAAATATTACGAATGGCGCTGTGGGCCAAAATGTAAGAAGCAGGCGGTAGTTTAGCTTGGATATATGTGTTGCTCCTAATTTTGTTATACACCATCGATACCGTTCTTGAAGGTGTTTAGAGGGTCGCCTGTACCGGGAGCCCAGAGAGCGATTCGAGAAGACGGATCGAGTTGCAGGGAAAATTTGATTGGTACAGTAAAAGATTCCCTGTTATCTAGCTATAAAAGAACGACACCGTGGACGATCTAGCTAGGGAACGGAGCAAGCACAGCACACAGGGCAGTTGCGAGTTGCAACCGAAACCAGCGCCAGGCAAAAATGGCGATGAGCAAATCAAACATTCAAACTCAGCAATCAGTTCAACAAACCACACCGGTTGCCTAGGTGTACAATGAAAGAATTTTAGTTAGAATTTTACACAGGCAAACCGGGGAATATCCAGCCTGCTACAGGTGTAGTCCAGGGATAGTCAATTCCCATCCATAGCTACCGCGTTTTGTAGGTTCAACTGCACAGTAATCGCAAGCATGGATTTATGTTCTGCCATCTTTTGGAAGTTCCTCCCAAAACTTTGAGTAACGTATGTTAAAGAAGTAGCTGCTTTTTTAGTGAAATTTAAAATCAGAACCTTTGTCTGGTGTTGCGTATTGGGTACCTAATGTTCAAAGACTTGTGAACCCCGTTATCAGAATGAAGCTTAACCCTTTCAACCTGATTCTCCGAAACCAGACTTGTCCTACTCAAAGCCTAACTCAACCGTCTCTGTATGTCATCTCTGAGGACTATTCACATAGCCCTCTTGTAAAGGCTCCCTGGACCATCCCAAGAACATGCTGGTCAAACTTTGGCAGAATCGACTGAACTAATGGACAAGATTCCACACACAATATTCCATACACCACTTCATTTTAGAGCTGGATGTGAGACTGGGTGACACCCAAATGAAGACGTTTGTATTCGACAGTCCTAATTGTCTTTGAAGTTAGTGTTTACGACAAAGTCAAACGAGCATTTAAGAGCCTAATTTAACACACTAATCAGAGGCTAGATTGAGTAGACAAATATATCTACAAAGCTGCCGAATTAAAATAGGTAAGGGAGCGTCAAAACATTGCAGTCGCACATAGCCAGGTAGACCAATCTGTAAGTAAAGCCTGTATTCAAGCAACCGATTGCTATTTTTCCTCATTCTTTATTCTTTTGAACTTTGTGGGCTATTCAGTAACATCCAGAAACAGTGGTATTCACTGAATAGCAAGCTTAAGGCAGAGTAATCAACCCTATTGGTACCCGTTGATTTGCTTCAAATCTTCCTTTGATGTTGCTCCGTGTAGCGACCCACAGATTTCCATATTTGTCTGGATAGGATGGGTAAAATATCATAAAACTACGGTTTCACCTTGCATTTAAGTATAAGGTGACAAGCTATCATTTCACCAGAAGCATCTGATAGCTGAAGAAAGTAACCATGGATGGAGAATATCTCGCAAATATCAGATGCAAAGTAGAAGCGAATGAATGGCACTTGAGGCCAAGCGAATCTTTGAAGAATGCGCATTATATACACAGCGGAGAACCATATACGTGTATAAGCCACAGGCCAAGTGGGTGTCGCAAATAAGTTCTTTGTGGATAAATTAGTTCCAGTAAGACGAAAAATTAACTTGACAGGCCAGTGCAGTATTCGCAGAAGTTCCCGGTCAATGTTTTCAAACCTCTGAGTAGTGCACGACAAGCAGGTAATATCAGTTGCAGTGCCCACCGAATTTTGACACAGGATAAGACAAACTTGGTTTGGATATGCTCCGAGAGCACAGACTGCGACAGCGAGGAGCCCGGCACTCCTGTTTGGGGTGTGACGATGTTTACAGGATCAAACTGCTCGTGGGGGTCTAGTCGACTAGCATCCGTATTGTAAAAGATAAAAGCTAGCAATAAAACCCAAAAATTGCCCCAAAATCTTCCAATTTACAGACATAAGACAGTATTTTACGAACTTGAAAAGTAGAAAATTAATGACAGTCTTGCCACATTTCCAGTCGTAGTCACCAGTTTTGGCACAATCGATCGGTCGTTCTCAAGCCAGGTTCGACCAGCCTGAAATAAGACGCATACATGGGCGAGCTTTGCGTTTGTCATCGGAACCTACGGTTCCGCGAGCTAAATGGCACCGTAAAAGGTTCGACCTAGGGACAGAAGTACGCTCGCCACTGCAGACTTCGTGAACACTCTTCGAGGCAGAACGCCAGAAGCGAGAGAAATGCGATTCGTCTGGTTGACACAAACGCACATAGTCAAGGTTCCAACAGATAAGTTTTCTACTTCGCCTAATTATAAAGCGAAACTATATAGTTACATTATTTCACACCTCGTATCCAGACAAGCGCGGGAATCTCCCAGGTCCATATGTCTACACTATTTTGCTTGGCTACTTGTGATGTCTTCACATGCGTATAAAAATCTAGATATTTAAGCATACTGAGCTTCTTGGTAGATTTCGAACTAGAAATAGGTCATAAATCCACTCCACCTATTGATCACTTAAAACAACCGGAGTACGTAAAATGATGCCTCGCTTGTTTTTCAAAGTTATAGTGGCAATTCATCCTAAACATGTCGCAACACTGCAATCGTTTTTTCTATAAGGAATATGTCCTCCTTAGGAATTCAATCGCTCTCCTAGGAGGGAACGCCAGCAGTCCTACTTAATTGTCAAGAATCGTTTATTCGTCGACTATTCTTGGGTTCCGTAATGGAGGATAGGTGACCATGGAGGATCTCCAGGACAAGCTAGTGATGCTTGACATGCGCTGAAACCAAAGCGAATACTTTTATCCTGTTCTGCGTACTCATCTATCACCCGGGTGGTAACAACAAAATCGGGTTTGCAGGTGTCCTTCGCTCATGAAGAACACATAGGTGACGTCTTTGGTGGTCGATTGCTAGCCAGGTGTTTTTCGACGCAACTTCCCTTACCGTGCACATGTGAACTTAACGAGCAAACACATTCGGTGGCGGAGAGAATTTGCATCTTATCACACGTAGAGTTGAGGTGTTCCGATCAACTGCGATGCTGTTTTCCTTCTTAGCTGACTGCATTTTTCACGGACACAACTTATGCACAAAAACTTTGTATAAGAAGCCCAGGACGTTAGGACTAAATCTGCTGCTCTGTTGCAAATTGTATATTTGCATTAAGTAGCCGCGTCAACCTCTTGTGTCAAAAACTTCTGGAACATCTGAAAAGCCGAAGGTAACATTCAGCCGTTTTTAGTTTTGTTGAACTTACCAATATATTCTACTCACGCGAGGACATATACTGCAACTACGGCCGGTTGAATGGAGTAAATGGGTTGCGCTTGAAAAGAATGTTTGACTTATTGTTTGAAGTTTAGATGGATTGATTGCATCGAAAGGCGATGTACGTAGACAGTCTTGATTAAGTGAATATATGTCACATGGTTTCATCCGTCACCTTGCCTTAAACAAAATGTCAATGACCTTGAAATTTGCGTGCTGCAAACGCGCTGTGTACTTTAGTGTTAAGATAAGTGTGGTGGTACCAGTCTGGAATTAGGAACCGTTTCCTTCTGTCCAAAGCAATAAACGGTGACACTGTGTTACTTACAGTGGAAGTCCATTCATACAGAAAACCTTTTCTCTATCGCATAAATGTTAAATGCTTGTGCACAGAAGGCATTTGAATTTACTTAACTATGAACTCCATCTGCCTTCAATGTGCGTTACACACTCACTTTATTGCTTCAGAAAACGTTGTCTTAACTACAGTGTCTTCACCTGAGAGGATCATTCCCACTGGTGCGTTTGGTGTATTTCGATGTACACATTTATCAACATGTTAAGGATTTGTGACTGAAACTTATTTTTGGTCTATCAAGCAGGATATAAACTCAGTAAGGTTAAACCGTTCATCACAGTCGTGTCCACTAGGGAAGCAATTTAATGTTGTAAGCGAATACGCGTTCGCTTGTGTAATGTGTAAAACGCAGATGTAACGTTTGCATGTAGCCTGTAGGTAAATCTTCAGAGCTTCTTTTTCCACAAGGTAAGGTGTGCAAGTGGACTATATTGTGCAGAGGTTAGTGTCTGGGTTGACAAGCCGCATCCGTGAAAAAGCGAAGGATGAACAAAGGTTGTTGAAAAACCTTGGAGCAATTTGTATCTATGAACCAATCGTTACTTGCGCGCTTGTCTTACCATAAACTTCCTCCATGTAAGTGTCCTCTGAAATGTAATAGGATGGCAGTGTGTTCAGTACTTTGATTTCACGTAACGCGCGAAAAACTACACAAACGCGTCTGCTATCAACTCCATCAACTGGAACATTACTCGCAACTCCGTTGGAGCAAAGTGGTGCTAGTTTTGGTTTATATACGGAACCGCATTCAGTTATGAAAGATTCGGGAATAGACTTGCGTGCCTGGAATAGTGCCGAGTTTAGAATACAACGCCTAAGTGGATAAGTTTTCAGTCACTGGAACTTGGCAATCAGAAATGACATTAGCTGATGTATGACGAAAGAAGAAATTAGGAAAACGACCGAAGTAGCGAATTTGCACCTTGGGCCGGAACAGTACACTGCAGTTTCTTGATTTTACATCTTTGATACTGATGGAAACTCAGGCTAATGCCAAAGCAACAGCTTACTTGCTGCGTCCAGTAGACACATGCTTGTGTTGATTAATGTTTACTAGCACCCACACGCGATTGTGCTGGGCACAGGGTTGCACAGAAACCATCTTAGCTGAATGCAATCAAAGGACTTGTTTGCACTTAGAAAGGTTCAGTTGAATTTAAAGCAGTAGAATGAACCTGCAAATCTATAAACTTAGTGTAAACTTTTCGGGCAGTTATGGTGTTAGCTGTCGGCTTAATCCGAGCAGCACGAATAACATGGTGAAACTACCGGTCAATTGTTGGCTGCTTCCTATTCTAAATGGACCGGTGCATAAATTCTACAGTTTTCGTGATGGCTTGTGAGTTTAACACCTTGATGGTACGCCTTTTCAGAAGGTTGTACCTTTGGCCATAGAACGATAGAAACAACTACAGTAGGAGATACAGTTTACCTTGTTGTCATTCTCAGATAACTTAAAGGTGCTTACTCGAAATCCACATTATTCATCTGGCTGGAAGGATCACTACTTAGTTATTTAAATAAGTAATTTAACCGTTCTTTACTTATTTGGTACCACCACGTGCACTAAACATTCCTTGAAGTTAGGAGATTCTCATTTTTATTGTGCGTCTGAGGTCTTCTTCCGCATACCGTTTTCTGATCCAGCGGTTTGTCGCTGCGTGTGTTACCTTACTGGACCTACTATTCTTCGTAATGTTTTCTATTCGCCTGAGTAAGAACCTTAAAGTAATTGCCAGGTTTGTGAAACATCTATCTCAGAGGAGTGGCATTTCAATTCAGTTACTTGCTAAAACCACTGTATCCAGCCATGTAAACTCCTGTAAAGAGCTTGTTTCAAAATCGAAATACCCCCTCAACGTGGTGTTGCCAAATGCGTATCAGCATCCTCAACTAGATAGCAATAAATTATGTACACCCGCACAAGGGCATATAAAACATTAGTAGCCCCTTCCCTGTCACCTTTTTGACGGATTGAAATTAAGTCAACCAAGAGTTGGTTAGTAAATAAGTTCGGTGATATCAGCTCTGTCAGATTATTTCAACAATTGTGGTTGCATACGTATCCTCATGTGATATTACACTTCATTATTTATCCCTTGTGTTATAGTTGCATATTCACCTTTCATGGGTGCAGCTAGCACATTTTTGACTTGAATTCGATTGATAGCTCAATGGTAGAACTAGCTGCACAGCGTGACTCGCGTGGTATTTCATGGTAGAGCAGCAAATCTTTACACACTTGACAAATTTCGTACCATGAAATCTACATTGTCAGCCATAGCTGATGTTTTCTTTATTTCACAAGGTGAGCAAAAACAGCCTCGCATCTCGTTATGGCATTGAAGTGGGCGATGTGATAGTGAGCATTTGTCGGTTGCTCACAGTGGGAAAGACACAGGAGCAGTTGAAGGCTGAGATTTTGCGAGCTGGGAACGAATTGGATTTGGTATTGATTCGGTAAGTGGTCAACGATTACTGAAAATTAAGTGAATGTATGTCACTCCTTTTCGACTGGTATGTTGTTCGCGGCTGTGTAGAATGGTTGGGTTTGGCGAGCTCAGCTTTTGTGATTCGGTCGGAAAAATCCGAACTGCATTGCCAAGGCAAAGTTGGGGGTTGTTAGGATAAAAAGTAAGCTTGCATGCTATTTTCGACAGTTTCTTCATGGAATCATTTGAAGCGTTAGTGTTCATGTGGTCACCCGAGTGACATACTGGTGAACCATTGGGTCCCCTTCAGCCACTTGATCAAAGCAGAAAGAAGACATATATTGCGATATGTCAACATTTCGATTGTTCTCCCCAGTCTCATACACAATACAAGCAGAAAGACATACACAAATATATTAATGGGAGAAAATCGGCACACCAATCAAAACGTCAAAAGCAAGACTAAGGTAATCTAATTGATCGCCTCCAGAGTTTCCGTGCACCTAGCCCAGGTTGATAGGTCTTAATTAGCAACGCTTCACTGCTTGCTAACCTTATGTGGTTCCGGTTGCGTAATAGTACTTTGAACGCAGTCTTCGGGTCCACATTGTGACCAGTTGTCAAGAGGTGCTTGGCGATAGGTGATAACGGAATACGGTACATTCTAGGGGCGCTCCGGTTTGTTGCGTCACAATTTGTTCCCTCCACTTTGGCAAGTCTTCAGCCACCCTCTGTCGTGTTTCCCTCCGGGAAGCAAAAAGACTGGGCCTCGATCACGAAGTCGTCTATTAAGATTACGCTCGAATATTTAGAGCGTATATACACTATTTACAACAGTCCGTTTCAATGGCTCATCTCTGTTATTTGCATTGTGCCGATGGCTTCTTTTCCATTGGTTTAGGCTTGGTCGCCACCTTCACTAAGTCTAAAATCACCTTGACTTACTTAGTGCATGTACGATTGGCGGGATTGGGCCCACGCGCTTCTTCTCTCGGTACAGTGCCACAACCCTTGGCTCAAGGGTGCACGAGCATGCGCTCCTTCGCCTGCTGGCGCCTGATTGGTCACTTGCACGTTCAGTGGATGGTTGCAGGCAACTATTTCCTGGGCAAATATTTCCTGATGGGCTTACCAATCTGCTTCCGGCAACATGTTCACTCCCTATCGGTCTGGCCTGTAACCTTCGATCGGCATTACAGCATTTCCAATCACCAGCATTTCCAGCCCCCATCACACCCTCTGAGCCAACCAACGGTTAGTCCTGCCTAGATGAACGTCACTGAAACTGCAAGTAAACTGTCAAACAACATGAGAGGTCGAACTAGCCGCAGAGTAGCTCTGACGGTCATGAAGAATAAGTTTCCGAGTGGTGTGTATGAGGCGCAACTGGGCACCCGTGTAGGTGTGCGTTAGGGCGGACCTGAGCTTGTGTCTGATATCCTTCGCCATATGGTCTCCCTTGATGCAATCAATTTGATTGCCTTGTCTTACTTTTGACGTTTTGATTGGTGTGTTGATTTTCTCCCATGTAGATACGTGTGTATGTGTTTCTGCGCGTGTTGTGTATGCGACTGAGGAGAACAATTGAAATGTTGCATATCGCAATCTATGTCTCCTTTCTGCTTTGATTAACACAGAAGTGACACTAATCGAAGGCACTGACCGTCTTTGAAACTCGTTTTGTTGGTAGGTAGGATACACAAAAACTGTACTGGTGGCAGCGGTTCACCTACTGGTAAAAGTTCAGCAGGGACATGAATGCCTTTACTATGCACTCTAGGTTTCCCCATCCAGGTGCTTTATTCCACTTACTCCGGCAGACACAACACCCTAGAAAACCAATTCTGAGCCTACGATTGTATCTAGTTGGCTTCTTACTCATAGACTTACAGGTAATTCGTCCATGCGTTTAGAATCCTACGGAAACACTTCAAGTATGACAAAGGCAGGTATAAAATTTCTGTTGATCGAACGATTTTTTATACTGGTTAACCAAGTTCGGGCATGTGCCCAGACAATGGCTGATCAACTTTACGGAATCTCTAAATGATTCGTGAAGATTGTGGTGTACCGAAAACAGTTACTCTTACAGAATTTCGTAACAATGAAGTCTATTGTTCTCTGTACCTTCCGACCCACCATTTGTTTTGCTGAGGGTGAATTTCCGTCACTTATTTCTTCCCGGGGAGTTGCGTGCTACGCTACTTCCTACTCTTGCTGATTCACTATCCATTTTCTGTGGCATTTGCAATATACATTCGGTCTATCTGCCTAAATCTGCTTCATGTATGTATTTACCACGTTTCCTATGTGTAACCGCTACCGACTAGTACTCGAGCCACACCTGTTGCGGGAACAACGAGTGATCCCGCCAAGTATGCAAATGCGCCTCGGGCTTCAAACACGGGCTACGCCACCAGGCGTCCATCTCCAAGCCACAACACAGCAGCCTCCGATCCACTCCAAGTCAGTGCGCAGCCGTGACAAAGTGTATGATGGTCTCGTGTGAACCACACGCTCGGCGTGTTGATTCACTTCTCCCACAACATGGACCGATGTGTCAACTTTGTTCGGCCTTTGTGGGTCGTAAATGATCTCCCATGCACGCGCCTTGACGTTCGATCTTGTGCGTTTAGTATAGGGACTTGGGTGGGTCACGTGAGCGTGATTTGCGTGCTTCCTAAACGCGACTATAGTTTCGAGGGAAGCGACCATCGATTGGTTTGGTTTCTCTGGCACAGTGTTTTAGCCGAATCCGTGCGTTGATTAGGAACCAAGCAACAAGCGTCACCTGCGACTTTGCTAAGGGAAGTATAAAAGCGGCTTGCTTATAGTCAACTTGCTAGGTAATGTGAAAACATTATGCAGGGACAGCGTTCGACTAATAGGGCGTAACTTTCCTCTGACCTGCGCTGAGAGCGTCACTGTAAGTTTAATTTTTGCTTGTGTACAGCTAGTGCTCCGGTGTTCTGGCGACCCCGATTTTCCTGCTTTACGCACGCATTGACTCATGCTCTGGAAAACGGAGTAGGTTGTTTTTGAAAGAGGATTTGAGCAAAATAAGTAGAAGTGTACCACATCTGCGGTTGAGGCTGATACTATCCGGCCTCGGTTGACTAAGCGGTCTGGAGATCCAAATGAGCCAAGATATTGAGCCGTGAGACCGGGAAAAAATCAATTCCGCTATCATTGAGCTTAAGCGGCGTGCTGATAGTTCGGAAACTAATTTCCACATTGTAAATTTTTGGGCAGTTCCCCAGGTTCACTGAACGCGGATCAACAGACGGATTACGCTCCATTCGTGGTCAGCGATTCCAATCGCGGGCTGCGCGTAGCCTTCACTAATTTCTGCAGTTTAATAAACAAACTTGACGATCTGTGTCACTTCGTTGCCTCTCGTCAGTCGGACTTACTAGGACCAGCTGAGACTTGATTGAATCCAGAGATAACTTCACAGGAAGTTCAAATCGAGGGCTGCTCGTGTTTCGGTGCGACAGACTATCAAACGGCCGCGGTGGTGTACTTCTGTACATCCGGCCTTCATGGTGCAAGAGACTGGTGAGCACCTACCGAAGTGAGGATGGCCTATGCGAGTAACGGTGGTGCTCAATCCACCTCAGGCGCAGTGTACTGCTCGTGGGTGTAGCCTCTCGCAGTGCGGGCACTTGCTATTTGGGTTGGTCGCAACATGTACGAAGCCGCATGATTCGTCCGCACTTCCTACTCATGGGTGATGTTAACCTCCCTCGAATAACTTGGTCTGATGGTTAATTTCTCCCCGGGTATTGTGAAGTCAAGGCAGAGTTTGCTGGGATGATATTTGAAACCGGGGCAGCACAACCCTTCTGACAGCCGACGGGCATTACACCGTACTCAAGTCCGTCGTACCTGGTTTTAATGTTGCCTAACTACGAACAGCCTGTGCGTGATGTTTCAGTCCTAGAGCCTATAGCAGTGAGTGATCACTCGATGATGGTGGCTAGCCTTGAGGTTTCGCTGCCAAACTCGCATCCGCTGGAGGTATCCTACAACTACTGGACGATGGACTTCGATGGTCTCACTTGAACCGCTAGTCAATTGGACTGGTCGCTATCGCAGGAGTCATCAGTTTAAACCTATTGGTCTGTTATAAAAGTGGGAGCTACATTGCTATGCGCTAGATTTGTACCCCTCAAGTACCAGAGAGATGGACCAGTTGGTTCGACAAAGAACATGGCCAGTTGGCTCTACGGAGACGCATATTGTGGAACAGGTTCCTTCAGTCTGACTCTGTCGACAATTACCAGCTGTACAAAAGGCGACTGAATTTATGCAACAGTGTGAAAGTACAGAATGGTCGACACTTCGACGAGGAGCTTGCATCCGAAGCAAAAATGACCCCCCAAGCGTATTTCCACTTATGTGAAACGGCGTCTGAGTCCGGCAGGCGACGTGACATTGTTAGAGGGCTCTGACGGAGTCTGTGATTTCTAACGCTGAACGTGCATTCGCGTTGGCGATGAACTGCACTTCTGTATGTGCAAGTGGGCGTGCATCTACACCCTATTGCACGTGTGCGCCCCCAGGGAACGCGAGAGCCTGGATTGCGATGTGGAAGATGTACGCAATCGACTTTCCATTCTTGACAGCACGAATCCTGCCGGTCCAGACGGGTTCCAACCGCTACTACACAACTCATTGTCGACCATCATCTCGCCCACCGTGATTGATCTGTTCAACAAATCGCTGTCTGAAGTTGCATTGCCGCGCGATTGGAAACCGTCGAAGTAAAGCCGATTGCGAAGGGTGGTGACCCAATCAAGTTGGACAATTACCGGCCGATTTGTCTGACCTCGATTCTGACCCAAGTACTCGAGAAAGTAGTGAAAAGAGGTGCACTGCAGTTGCTGGAGACGAAAAATCTCCAGACCACCACACAGCCAGGTTTCATGGTCACCAATTTGCTGTTAACTCAGCATTAATATTTGCAAACGTTGAACCGGTGGATGCGAGCTACATCGATCTCAATAAAGCGTTCGACAAAGTAAATCAGGAGATCCTCCTAGACAAACTGAGGTTATGCGCTGTTGGTGACCCACTGCACAAGTGGATCAGTGAATTGCTCATTGGACAGAAATGGAGACTACAGGTGGATGGCTACCAAACCGAGTGGGGTCACTCCACCAGTGGCTTACCCCAAGGGACAGTACTGGGACCCATTTTATTCGTGAGCCACAACAACAAGATTCCTCAGCTTCTTCGGTCGCTTTGCTCACGGGTTATCTGCAGATTTGGAGAATAATTGATGCTCACGACGACTGTCACGTACTTCAGCATGATCACTGCCTGCTACGGGACATGTCAAGCGCCAGCTTTTTTACCCGTTATAAATCATTGTTCATTGTGCCTGTCTAGGCGGTCTGAAGATATCTATCTGCCCGTTAACCCGGTCAAATTGTTATATATGAGTCTGCGGTAGGTTGTTGATGGGCGTACGTACAAACTGGCCTACCAACCACTGCATTCACACCTTCCTTGAAGGATCTCGGCGTACTCTCACGCTGCGATTTGAAGCCCGTAGACGACACGAACAAGTCACATGGAAACGGACTACGCATGCTTTGGACGCTCAAACGCAGCTTCTGCACTTGGTCTGAAGAGGTTGCCACGCGCCTTTTCTTTTCCATCATAAGACCGAGGCTCGAGTACGGATCGCCCGCCTATTGTCCGATCACCTGTGGAGAGGTGCAAAGAATGGAATATGTTCAGCATGTGGTTACCAGGCTCATCCCCAGTTTACGGGGTATGCCTTACGAAGACCGATGCAGACGATAAGGGCGGTGCACCCCATCGTATCGTCGCTTTAGAGTTGAACTCAGTAGTGCGCATCGGCTGTTCCATCTCGGTCACTTACCCATGCAGAGGCTACTGTTTCACCTGAGTCTACCAAGCAGTACTCGCGGGTACCGGTACAAGCTAGTGATAATGGACCTAAAGAGAATAGCTCAACCCCTATGTTTCAAGCGCCGAGTGGTGCAAACTTGGCAAAGTTTACCTGCAAAAATTGTTGGGGCAAAAGTGGTGTCGGAATTCAGATAATTTCTAGACACCACTTTGCGGATTTCAGATACAGGGAGCTCATCACACCCGAATAGCCTATGGCGCAGCTGTAATATGCAGCAGACGCTCAAAAATCGCTGACGTGGATCTGCGCACTATTCAGAACTAAGTACCATAGAGCAACACAGACGCATGTCTACTAGCTCATTATTTTCAGTATTCAGTACACGGACCCAGTCAGACTCTCATCACATGCCCAGGAAAGCAGTGTTCGATCGCTTTATAATGTCGGTAATCAGCAACAGTGCACATTCCATTTGATCCCTTTGGGCCCCAACCAGCAAAGTTATCTTTACTAGTTTATGGTTATGAAGCTTGAGCTACGGGGGACGGTGATGACCGACCTGATTAAGCTACCGTATATGCTATGGTGCCACACACTATCCAGTGCTTTGTACGCTACTACCGTGCAGAGTATAAGGTATCCGGCCCACAGATAATCGAAGTTATCAAACCCAAGCCGAAATTAACTTAAGGCATTCTAAGTAGTTTAGTCTGCTTACTGAGAATAAAATAATCGTGAGTGGTGCTATACTTACTAGTTAAGGCTGTCGTGAGCGTCTCCGGTAACTCAGTGTTCTCAGTCACGGACTGGTAGCAGTCGAATTACGGGTTCGAGCCCCACAAGTGTAGGATTGAATGTACAAGCAGGACGATTCTAGTAGGGTTGAAACGGCCGCGCAATACTTTTTCTGACTTTCAATAGCTGTCTAAGTCTAGGTGTCAGTGATTTTATTTGCACCATTTAAATCCCCTCACTATTTTTAGCAGATACCATCTGCTAGCGCAACATGGATAGTTGGGGACATTCCGCTCCTCAAGACATACGGGCAACGCTAGTTCCCTTCGTAACCCCTGGATATACGCCAAAAGAAATTGCTTGGTGAGACTATGTTTCTGTGGACGCGTGTCTGAAGAAACTAAGCGGCTAGATTGCATGAAGTAGATGACATCCTTCTTTATGGTACACACAATCAGCCCACATGTCGATTAGTGAGGGGGTTACCCTGTCCTCTACACAGCCGTAACGTGTAAGTCAGTGGATAGTGAGGGGCCCTATATCACATTTAGTAACTTCGTCACGATGGTCATTACCGTCTCCCGTAGCTCAGTGTTCTCTATCACAGACTGACAAGTCAGATGGAATTCGCACCGAAAAACATTGCCTTCACCTTCAGCTCCCGTGCGCTTGGTGAACTGTAGTCTGGTCGATAAACTATTGGCATCAGGCCATGTGGCCATGTGCGTCTGCGTATCCACCGGGCGGGAGTCAGTGTGACCTACGCGAGCGATGAAGACACGAATTGAAAGCATGGTTGATTTTTTTACCCGTTTTTGAGTTGTAGACAGACGCACAAATCGACTGGCACGGGCGCTCACGTGATCACGGCATCCAACACACGAGCGACACACATGGTGACGATCATCCCAGGAGTGCGAAAATCGGGCTCACAAAACATGCCCATGGACTGGAAAAGGTTATAAACTTGAAATACCGACAGGCCACATGTCGAATGCACCGTAGATTGGTATTGACTTGCCTTAGCGCACATACGGCAAGCGGTACACACTTGCGCAATACATGAACACACCTAATATCTATCAGCACAGTGCGACACTCAAGCTATTTCCATTCCCCACGTTCCAGTACTTGCAAATACCGTCGTAAATAAGTTAATACAAAAGAGATTTCAAACTCCTAGCACCGAAAGTTGAACAGGCGCATTTTTAATCATGGTATGTTTTACATGTTCTTTTCAATAGTTTCCTTGACGCAGTAAGCTGATGGGACACATGACGTCACACGTTACATAAACGAACCAAGAAAAAGTATTATCAAATAAGACGTTTGGTTAATGCGCAGGCAACGATTCCATTTTCCACCATTCCTAATAGAGGTACTATGCTTGCGACGTACTGTGCTAGAGTTTTAGCAGCAGAACCTCCCATCATGACAGGCTTTTAAACATTGCTAACACATTGGGCACTTCATATACGCACTCCCTTCTTCATTTGGCTTTGTTTTCATATAGTAGAGGGATCGACCTTGACAAAGTGAGCCAATGCGTCCCACAGGTTTTGACGTCATCCGTTCGTAGTCCGACACAGTCTACCTCTCCAGTGAATTCGAACGTTTCGTCACCGGAAGCCTTTCTCTCCTACCAGTCCCCAATCAGGGGTCGCTCATTTCGAAATGTCAAAACCAAATCGTTGCGCATTCTCGAGGAGCAACTAGCCGCAGGCCAACCGAGTTCCGTTTTGCGTACTAAGCAACACTTTCAAGGAGCTCGGGGCTTACCAGCAAGTGGGGCGAATACCACTTTCACAACTGCATATGGACAGACCTCCGATCAAGGCTACAGAGGTCGGATGGTAAATGTTCAACCTACGAGCACTTTGGGTTTTCAGCCAAATTCAACGTCAGTCAATATCGCGCCCCCACTTTCTCCAACAAATTATGCGGCATACCAATCTAGTCAAGTGTTGTCCCGCTTCGGGACTAGCTGCGATCGCCCTGCTTACCCAAGTGTGGCCAATTGGGACACTCAATCTGATCAGAGCTCTTATCGAACGTACCAACGCTCAAACTCAGCCGGTTCCGGAATGCAGACTAGTGGCGTGGTGCACATCAGCCCTTCCCAGAGTAAGTTTGTCCACACTGAAAAACAAAATATTTCACTTCGAGGTAACCTTTACATAGATTAAAACATACAGATTGTCACTTACAAACTGATTACTGGAATGGTGTCGGAGTTAGTATCCTACAGTACTGTAATAGTTACTGCTTACTAAGATAATGTTTTTCGGTGCTCTGCAACAGCGATTACTGGGATCTTTTTAAGAATAAGACGCGAGTACATAGGTAAAGGTCGCCCATCTTGTTTCACTTCCGCCTATGAGTCCTGCACCGAGTTATGCGGTTCAAAGGAGTCAATCCCTTCGGATTCGTTCAACTCCAGTTTATAGCTTGCTTCATCCTAATCGGGGCAGTAATTTGCTCAGATGACATAAAACATGACTGTTACCGTTTCACTTCAACGCGTGTTAGTGATGTAGATTGGTTTAGATGCACCAAATGGTTTTTGTTTTATTACTCAGGGTTTAAAGTGAATTGAAGTGTGCAACATTTAAAGTAAGTAGGCGACGGCGCTCTCTAATAGTGGATCCTAAAGAAGCGTGATACTAATGATAGCGTCACGAATGTAGGCGAAGTCGATGATAGCGATAAACCTTGCTTATGCTACTGCAGAGAGTTTAAGCAAATCTCGCTGACGTTATGTGGTTCAGTGGCGTGGGAATACGATTTTACTGATAATAAGTCAGATACACCTCTGACATTCTCTCACTTTAGCTTCCATTACAAAACACACTGATATTCACTTTTTAGTCGCCCGGAAATTATTTAAGAATCAAATTCCGAATGATGCTTACGTTTTCACGTGAAAACCGTATACTAAAGTTTGAAGATGACAATTAACTGCGATTGGAATGTCGTCAGTCCTTAAATCTAAGTTAATCCTAGAAGAGGAAAATCTATTGATGAAGTAGCTCATTTTGTGACATTGCCATTTAACCTGTTATACAATTGTGGCTCGCCAGCCAAACCGAATGACCGATTTTTCTTCATGGTACACAAATTTTTCTTTGTAAGTCTAATGAATCCTTTCTTTGTACATCAAGCATTAGGTTCATTAAACAATGACACTTAAATAAAGCCTATGAGTTTTGGCTGACAATGCGCTGTGCGGTTTGATAACAACAGTTCATCAATGCCAATGGACCTGGGATCAAGCCCGTTTAATAAACATTTGAACAAGATATATTTTCTACACAACCGGAGTAACCAATCCCCGGGTTGACCACAACACCGAGAAAGTGGGTGGGCACGATTGTTAGCTTTTGCGCAAAACGCCGTCCCGTCCTCATAGCAACATCCAAACCTCATGTTGTTTTGACTAAAGTAGATGGTAGCCATCACTCAGTATCTGGACTGACGATTCACGGATACCAACTGTAGTTTACACTAGCCAACAGAGAAATTTGACGCTTAGTTTTTCGGATCAGTTTTCAACTTTTTGAACGAAATGACTGGGGTTTCTCTTTAGTATGATAAGCACGTTGTCATCGACACTAACTTTCACTGATATCGATCAGCCCCTGGTGATTATAAGGCTGGATTTTAATGGCGCTCAAAGAAACCCGGATACTTCTTCAACGTGCCCTTAATAAGTCTGTAGTTCCAAAGGTTTCCGAATGATATCTAAGTAATGTAACCGCACCATGTCTTCAGCAATCCGAAGTCATTGACTTATATTTGGATACCACTGTATTTAGTTTAATAAGGGGAATAAAACCGTCTCGGAAGACCAATGCGCCTTTCCAACTCTTCGGTGCCCACCCGATCACCGCTATGAGCGAGTCGGATACACCGCACAGTCGGTCACGCCTACGTTGCTCAGACCCCGTGACCTGTGACTCCAAAGCTCACGGCCACCGGCCAACGAACCATGCTGACCTACTTCTGTAATATTTGTCAACCTCTTCTCGTTCATATGTCATTTGACTGGTTGTGCCCTACTATACAGTATTCTAAAGGTCTACCTCGATCGACGTGAGCATTTAATGAATACTATTTCCCTTTTAATCTACTCCTCAAAGGAGATCCTCAGATGGCAACAACTGCGATCACAGTGCCCATTCAACGCAGTCAACCGAGAACCGACTGGGCTGGATCAAGTTACCTTCGTCCAAATGTAATGTGAGCACAAACACGCGGCTCAACCAAGAACATATATGACCACAGCATAAATGCACATACTAACCTACCTTCTGTTTTCACCATGACAATCTGCTAGTGAGAGCGCGTGTACAAAAACTTTCTTCGCATGCCCTAGAAACGCATAGAATCTCCTCTCTTCCGAATACAATCAAGATGCTAGCTTCAAGGCTCGCCGTACAAGTGCAAGCCATGTCCAAATTTCTTGCGCTAACTCGAAGCACTCGCGATGTCATTCCTTTTCACTTTAGTCAAATTCGTTCATGTCTTCCATCTTCCTTCAGTGTACCAGATTAACTACTTTTACAAAATGAAGATTATAGAGCCTTATCATCCTCTGTGAACCTTATGCGTCAGAGAGTACGTGATATCCGTCACAGATATTGCGGTAAACCAGATAGATGGTAACACTATTGTTGGCATAGCGAAGGTTACATTATGTTACTTGAGAGGGTGTGTAGAATACATTATTTGCGTACCACGTGTCTTTCTATGCTTTCTTTACTGAAAATCACGAAACACTGATTATCGAAAATCTACGAAACTATGAGTAGGGAATCATGGTTTATCACTGGTAAAACTGACTACCAAACAAGTCCAGGATGTTGAGGTAGGAATAGAAACTTCAGATACGTACCCAGCATCAATTGAAAGTCTACCGAGTAAACAATGATATATATGAGGTAAGGTAGTGAATGCTTTAAATTTACTGATATATGGCGATCGTATGAACATATGGGTTTAAGGAAAACGTTTCATGTAGGAAAAATAATCGCTTTCACTCCCGGTAGGGTTTAAGAGGTATCCGTATGCATCTAATATGACTCAGCCGCAAAGATATTCCTCACTATCACAGTTTGAGTAGCGCAGTAGTTGAGGTAAAGAGCACTATCCAACGATGTATGACGATGGGGAAGTTGGAATAAAAACTGAATACTTATTTTAGGGATTTAAAGGGCTAGTGAACCCGAAACATGATTGTATTGCTCACACAGGTTTTGGACGTTATTCCCGACTCTCAGCAAGTAATTGTAATCACCAATTCTATGATACATTAACATCACGCCGCCACGTAACCACGCTTAACTCCAAGTGAAAGCTATGAGTGACTCTAGCCTTTGTTAGCTAGGAAAGCTACACAGAACTTTGAGATTCGCCGTTGCCCAGCTTTGTGGAATGTATATCACCGAGACGTTGCGCTTCAGCCAGAGTTACTAAGTACAGATGACATATTCGCTTTCAACATGCGCGTAAGAATCATCCATTAGTGGGTAGACAGTCGGGTCAAAATTTCGAGTGCATTCCGCGTTAGACCAATGTGCCAAACTACTTGGAATAACTGATTAAATTCTGTACCAGAACACCGAGGTTACGCTTCCGGTAATTGGTTGGCGTGCTGTAGGATTTTCAGTGGCATACCTGCGAAATTTGGCACTTATCTGCGTTGAATGACAGGCACTTCTAAACCCAACGACATAAAGCTTCATTAGTGGTGCACTGGAAAAGCTCGTGTTCCTTTGGCCTTTTCATTTCTCATTATAGTCTAATAGAACCGTCAGCAGATAATCAGAGCAAAGTCCTACTAGATCAGGACAACAGAAATGGCAACAGCGTTAACGCAGTTAATCTCCGGCCATGGTGGTGCGATGTTTGTGTGCCTCAGTGATCCATTGAGCTCTACTGGGTGGTGCATTCTTGCACCTTCAGAGCCACTCATACCAGATTGGTCAGTGGTTAGAGGCCAGACAAACTCAGCCTCCTGGTCCTCCAGGTTGAGGATTGAAATGAGGGTGGCGCTTTATTCCTTAAAACGGACTACTTGTAGCCTAATACCAAACCCGCTGCCTTGCGGAGAGGTTTTTGAACTAAAGGCTTTGGTTGAGAACCCTAATCGTTCTCCTGTCTAGGCCTGGGCAACCTGATAGTATCCTGTCCACGCAATACTATGAAACGCACTTCAAACAAATTTCTGATGCTCTGGCCACCGCAGAGGATAATCAACGGTGCCCTATCTGCTGCATCCAGCAGGGTGGATAGGGTTTGGATGCTACTGCTCAGGCCTTCCCATCTTCTTATTCCCCTTCTTGCGCTTTTTCACCCTTATCGTCCCGTTCCAGCTTCACTTTTATCCCCCCCTGTTTTCAACCCCCCTATTCTCGGCCCTCCCGCACCTTGCTTCAATAGTCGCTTGTCTTTTAGTTCCAACTCACAGGTGAATGTGGAGCGTCATTCCTGCACTGTCAACAGGCCCATGTCCAAGCATGCGGCCCATTCCAGTTCATCGACTTCCATTTGGAGCCCTCGATCATCCTTCAGATTGGCACGCCTCAATGTTCGCACATTGCTTCAGATCGGTCAACAGGCAGCACTTGCTCGAACATTAGAGACCCTCTCGATCGATATCTGCTGCTTATCGGAGACCCGCCTGCAAGACTCGAGCTTTGTACTCACGCTGCGATCCCCTTCAGGTGACACTTGCAGCAATTTCTCATTGCGCCTATCCGGCGACGATGCAGCTGCGAGCACCGGCCGTGCCAGTGTTGGTATTGCCCTGAGTCCCCTGGCTGAAGCTGCTCTGGTTGATTGGATTCCAATCAGTAGCCGGATGTTTGCGGTCCGATTGGCTGGCTCGTTCAAAACTCCGAAGTCGCGTGGGACTACCAGGTGTCTATTCGTTATCGCTGCCTATGCACCGACAAACTGTAGCGATGACTCGGTAAAAGACGACTTCTATAGTCAACTGAACGAGCTCCTTAATCACAGAAGAAGCTCGGACACTGTAGTGCTGGCTGGGGATCTGAACGCGCAACTTGGAAAACTATCCACAGATAAGTTGCATCTGGGCGGCCAACATGGTATAGGCTCCCGTAATTATAACGGTGAGCGGTCACTTCATTTGTGTGAGGATGCTCGCTTATTTCTTGCAAGCACTAATTTCCGACACATCACCCGCCGGAGGGTGACTTGGCGCCCACCAGCCTCGAACCAGCTATGGACGCAGATTGATCACATTGTGATAAGTTACCGCTGGAGAGGCTGCATCCAGAACTGTCGCTCGATTTGGAGCACAGGTGTGGACACCGACCATGCACTTGTATGTGCTGACCTGCGGATGCGCTTTGGCGGACACCCACGGCGACGCTGTGAGCGCATTGACACCGGCCAACTGGCAAAGCCAGCTGTTCTGTATGCCTATCAAAGTACGCTGTCATGCGAGTTGGATAAACGCTCATTGGATGCAATTGAAGCTCACTGGTCTCATATTCACCAAACCTTACTAGCAGCAGGCAAATCCTCATGTGGTATGTCTAATCACCAACATGGACATTGGGTCTCTTCACAGTCTCTGGAACTTATCGACGCTAGCCGGCATATTCCGGCTGGAAGCGAACACAATGAAACTCGCAAAGAGCTCCGGGCAAAACTCCGTGCTAGCCTGAAGAGAGACCGCGAATCCTGGTGGTCTCGTCGTGCAACAGAGATGGAAATGACCGCTGCCCTTGGTAACCATCGTGAGTTATTCCGTCTTATACGGGAAACGGGCAGCAGGAGACCTGGTGTTAGTGAAACTATAAGTGACGAGAGTGGACAGCCTATCCACAACTTATCAAAATGCCTGGAACGTTGGGCTGAGCATTTTGAAAGGCAATTTAATCGGTCAGAATTGTTAGATTTCTCGCCGACCAGTGATCGCCGTGCTCAGTGGGCTGTTATTTTGAATCCACTCTCTCGCTCAGAAGTCGAACATGAGATCGAACTGTTGAAGTTACATAAAGCCGCGGGACCTGATGACCTTCCTCCAGCCCTCTTCAAATTCGGTGGCTATGCTCTTGTTGATGCTTTACATGAATTACTAGTGAAACTGTGGGAGCAGGAGACTGTCCCAACCGATTGGAGCCGCTCCATCGTAGTCCCAATTTTCAAAGGAGGCTCACGATCGGAATGCGGCAGCCATAGAGGAATCAGTCTGATCTCCATCGCCTCCAAATTGCTTGCTTCTGTCATCCTTCACAGACTGACTGACATTCGTGTAAGCCAGATTCGTGAAGAGCAAGCTGGATTTCGTCGAGGTCGTGGCTGCATTGACCACGTCTTCACTTTGCGTCAGTCGTTGGAGCACCGTCATATATATTGACGGCCCACCGTTGTTATGTTCCTCGATATCAAAGGTGCATTCGATTCGGTGGATAGACGTGCACTTTGGGACTGTCTACTCAGGAGAGGTGTACCTGAGAAATATGTGAATATTATCCGAGCATTATATGCGCGTAGCTCGGGCAGAGTGAGGGCTTACGGCAAGTTGTCGTCGCTCTTTAATATCTCCAGCGGCGTGAGACAAGGATGCCCGCTGTCACCTTTCCTCTTCAACTTCGCTGTTGACGAAGTCATGGAAATCGAGTTCACAGGACACGACTTAGAAGGTGTGGAGCTACTCCCAGGAGAACGACTTCTTGATTTAGAGTATGCTGATGGTATTGCCCTAATCTCTGACAGCTCCCAGACGTGCCAAGTGGCACTGGACAGATTAGCACTAGCTGTCCGTCACTTCGGGCTTTGCTTCGCACCCTCGAAGTGCAAAGCGTTCCTCCAAGATTGGTATGGACCGCCTCCTACGCTGACCCTTGGTGGGGATCAGCTAGAAGTCGTTCGAAAATTCAACTACCTGGGAAGTTGTGTCAGCGCCCGTGGGATTGAAGATGAGATCACGAATCGTATAGCAAAAGCTCGAGGCGCTTTTGCTAACCTTCGCCACTTATGTCGCCGGCGCGACATCACTCTTGCCCTGAAGGGTAGAGTGTACAATGCAGCGGTACGTTCGACCCTGCAGTACGGTTGTGAAACTTAGCCGCTTAAAGCAGCGGACCTGAAAAGGCTAGTTACGTTCGACCACCGGTGCCTTCGCAATTTAGGTCGCATCTGGTGGGAACACCGCGTGAGCAACGAGCGTGCTCTACTCCTTGCTTATGGCACATGAAAAGGAACTGCACGGCTCAGCACCGTTATTTCACGCACAAGGCTCCGATGGCTCGGCCACGTGTTACGCATGCCAGCCCACCGACTCCCGCGACGTGCGTTGTTTGTGGGCCGGGGGTGTGGATAGAAGAAGAGGACGCGTGATCAAGCGATGACTTGGTCAAGAGGAATGAAGGCCGTCACCTCTGTGTTGGCCTCGGTTGGACCGTCTCGGCTCCCTGGTTGGGGTCCGAAAGACGACGAACACGTTTGGCTGGACACACTAGCTGATATGGCTAGGAGCCGACCTCAGTCGCGTTCGTGCTGTGAGCTTCTTTGTCACACCCCATCCCTCTTAGCCTCCCCCTCCAACCATGATCTCATTGCTTAGCGTTATATAATTATGCATAATAATTTTTTTGGGTGCACAGCAGCCGGCTGGTAGCTTACCGGAACGATGCCCAACCGTTAAAGGTAGCTCAGCCAGTGTGCACCAGTTGTACTTTTCTCTCCTTTTTTTCTT